GCACTCGCTGCAAGCCAGACGCCTACAGGCTGGATAGGGTTTAGGGTTTAGGGTTTAGGGTTTGGGGTTTGGGGACCTCTTTCAGTACACGATTGAAGGGTTGCCTTACGGGCTGGATAGGGGTACTGTAGAAGTGCAGCGGGTGTTTTGCGCCATGGGGTTTGAAGGCTTACGGGTTAAAGCATGAGGCTTCCAGGGCTGCACTTGGAGGTTCATGGGACGTAATACTGTTGATGGACAAATCCTGCATGACCGTATATACCTAAACTATGGGATTTATGGTACTATACTATATTTGGGTCATGCAGACTTTTGTCCATCAACCGTAAGTACAGTTACAAGTACCTTAATTGGGGTTATAACTAGTTAGAAGTATAGTTACCTTATTTATAGCCCTAGTTACTAAGTCCCATAAACCTTCAAGCAACAAACCTATTCTAAGCACTCTTGGTTTCATCGCTCCGGGAGTTGCAAGACAAGTCTGGAGTTCTGGTTAGCAGAATCAGCATTAGAAAGGCCTGAACCCTAAACCCGGAACCTTACAGGGACCCAAAAAGATCTACACTCTGACTTACAGCGCTCGGGACTTGGGTTTATAGTCTGAGGTTTTAACCCCAAACCCTACACTCCAACTTTTGGGGTTTGGGCGTTGGGTTTAAGATTTGAGGCTTAGGACCTTGGAACAGGAGATCATGTTGTATACGTTTGAGATGTAAATTTGGTTTTTTGAAGTTCTGGATTCAGGATGTAAGGTGTAGGGCGAATGTTTTGGATTCAGTGATTTTGGGTTTAGGGAATTTGGGATTCAGAGGTCTAGGGTTTTAGGATTTAGGGTTGAGCGATGCGCCTGCCCCGTCGTCCATTCGACTAGGATTTCTCCCCGCTCTGGGTCATGCTGGCGGATCCTCACGCGGGCTGCAGCTTCTTCAGACATGGATCATGGAACACTTAACATACTTCACACCAAAGCCCACACTAAAAACACTAGACGCTGAATCCTAATCATCCTAATCTAGCTTGGCGGAATCTGGCCTTCAGAAATGATTCTTTGGATTCAGGGCTCCGCTTTCTGCGGCTCAGTTTGGCGGGGGCTCTACACACAATCACATCGGCCATCGATACACTTCCTTCAAGGAAAGTGACGCATGGGTTTAGGGTAGGGGATTGAGTGGTAACGGTCTAGGGTTTAGGGCATCTCTTCCCCTTGACTGCAGCTTGCACGACATCTCGGGATGCCATGTGGACACTCATCATCCCTCCCTCCCTCCTTCCCTCCGGTTTAGGGTTTAGGGTTTAGGGATACTTGATATCGGAGTTTCAGGCATCCCCAAGCAAAAATCTGAACCCTCAAGCCCTAAACGTAATCCCTAGGCACTACAACTTCGGCTTCGCCGTCACTGCAGACCTGTATCCAGCCCTGCAAAAGCCCCAAAGCCCTAAACTTAAACCCAAACCCCCAAACTTAAACCCTAAACCCTAAACCCTAAACCCTAAACCCAAAACCCAAAACCCCTAAACCCTAAACCCTAAACCCTAAACCCCTAAACCCTAAACCCTACACTCTAAACCCATAACCTCGATAAGTTGGCGCCTTGGTCCCTGCACTGGGCAGGAGCTGCAGCGGAAGAAGGCCACAGAGGTGCCATTCGCCCCCACCTAGTTCGCACCAAACCCAGACGTATCCGTGTGGTACCGTTATGTACCCTTTGTAGTTCTCCTATGTACCCTCGATGTTGTTGTTCAATGGATTTTCGGGTTTCTCCACAAAGTTGGCTTGCAGATCCGTGTAGGCTGCAGAGCGCTCTATCAAAGTTCTTTCCCAACCCGACAAAAGGACAAAACCTTGTTGGCAATTCTTTCCATTCTCTTCGTGAAACTGTGTCGAAGGACTTGTAACATTGTCGTCGGATCTTTATTGTTTTCGTTATCCTAATGTCGAATGTCAGTGCGTCTCACTCCCCGAAATAGCCGTTCGTGGGTGTACACCATTTCGCTTGCCTTCAATGATGTGTGCGATACTCTAATACACGGAATCCATTATCCGACTTCTTATGAACGGAAGAGCATCCGACGTACTCTCCTGTACTGCAGCCTAACCCCACCAATTCACATTTTCAACTTTCAAGGCTTAAGACCGTAAGGCCGAACCTTAAACCCTAACCCTAGACAAGAAACCCAAACCCTAAACCGCAACCCTAAACCCTAAATCCAAACCCTAAACTCTGGACCCTAAACCCAAACCCTAAACCCTAAACTAAACCTCAAACACTGAATCCGAAACCCGAGACATGC